CTCCCAGTACGGCCCTCGCGCCTGGTTAATAAGATATATTTAACAGCTTCATACACGTACCTTGAAACATAAGTGAGGGCTCTTCCCAGCTTTGTTCCTCCATATGGATATCTCACACGATCAACTGCCTTAATAACGCTAGGCAAGGTGTAATATCGGTTAAAACGGAATATCGGGTATGGTCGAGTGGAGAATACTACCATACCCACCCGGGTCTGGCCCGCAGAGATAGGGAAGAAACTAATGAGAGTCTTGATAAAATCGAGAATGTTCATGAAATTTCCTTTGCCTCGATTTTCTATGCTTCCAGAGCCATCCACGAGGAACCCAAGATCAACTTTCAAGCGGCAAACTGGAAAGAAAGCAAAGCGTTATAAGAGCCTGCTGTTCATTGAACTCTTTATGATCAACACGTAACTTCTTCCCACAGTATCCACGCATTATCCAATACACAGGTCATGAGAATGTTCAAACTTATCAGGTGGAAGCTGTTATATTGATCTAACACCAAATTCTTGTTACTAATTTACAAGGAAATAAGTAGCAGCTACACGGGAGAATTTACAATCAGATCTTAGGAGCTCAAGAGTTAAGGCCATATGATGAGATCATTAGTGAATTGGGTATGTAAATCGCTTTATAATTAAGACAGATAGTTAAGAGGACGCTGAGTTGCTCACCTGGTGGTTTTGTCGGTATCGGTTTTTTAGTTGGAATGGTCGGCGATGGGGTCACAACTTGAAAATTGAACAAAAAGATAAACATCAGCAACCAATCAGTGACAAGAATAACAATAGATCAAAAAAGGCCTGTCGGAAAATGAGTTGTGTTCGAGTAAAATGTCCTTGAAGTCTGACCAGATAACTTTTCACAAAAAAATTTAAAGCATTCAGATTGTCGTTCAAGATACAATCCATCTTTTAAAAGCTTCTCGATCTCCGTTACTGAGTGAGAGGTTCGTTTTCTAACTTTCAACTTGACAAACTTTTTAACCCTAATGCAGCTCCGTGAACAATAATTCAATACATAGCATTTTTGTACATGTTCCACGGTTTCTGGGAACGTATTGCTTGTACGTACAACGGTGCCACGTACGGGTGTTTTTACGTTCATCCTTATGATAAAATGTACTCTTGCGCCATACCATGTATAAAAAGGCTTGCGACGAGTTCGTCTTTACTGATGCTATTGCTGAAAATTATTCTTTCTCAGTTCAGTTTAACCAAAGAAAATATCAATAGAATTTGCTTGTTATCGTTGCTGTGGCTCATTATTCCCACAGACTAAATCACACCATTAGAAAAGACTTGAGAAACGTTGCTCTCCAAAGGGAAAGTTAAGACCTTCTAAGGTTTGCCTTAAAGCTTTATGTTTCTCGTTTCAAAATATGCTTACAAACAATGTACAAAAACCCCTTGCAACTGTTTAGTTTTTACACCTACCTGCACGGAAACATTGCTTCTTTTTACTTCGAATCTGTGCAGCACTCATAGCATAGTTATACATCTGTACACAGGCAATTCTCCCGCGGAACTTGCGACGATCACCAGGTTTACTTCCGATCACTATGGGGTAGTTGGTAGCAAGACCAAGACGAAATGTACCAATCCTGCGTTGAATGATGGGGAGACTGTCTAGCCACAGGGTGGCCAGACCCGTTCGTCGATCGTAAGATGCAGCAATGTAGTTCCACTGGCGTGGCTTTATCTTTTTGTATACAGCTGTCACAGATTTGCGTGAGCGAGGTACAAACCGAGCGAAAAGTCTGAACTGACTTATGATCCACACGTGAACACCCCAGCCTTTTGGATTAAAATGTAACAACGGTCCACTGCTCTCGGGATACACCCACATGATAATTGTAAGTGAGTATCTTGTGTCCAGACAGCCGTTATTGGGAATCAAAACATAACTGTTTCTTGTTCCTCTAAAGGAAAGGGCTCCTTGTGGATGCTTGTCTGGGCCACGTGCCTAGTAAACGCCTGCGAATGTGGCGGGCGGGTTGACATATCCACTGATGTCACGATTCTTTGAGGCGCTCGTAAGCTGATAAACTGCAACAGACCCTCGGCGAATAACTGAGAAAAAAAAGTTCTAAGAATTAACAGGGGTAAGATAACCAGAGGTGATCTTTCGATTTTCAGCCTTCAAAGTGAAACCTTGATCTCATCATGGAAAAATGGTAAGGAGAAACAATCGAAATGTATTAAATTGCTTAAAAAAAGAACAATAATATTTGCTCCTCAAACCAACATGCCTATTCAGAAAGGGGTATGATTCTAGAGAAACTATGGTGCTGCGACGGTGCAGGGAAATAAAAGATAATTTGCTTTTATCAACTGAGTTAATAATGTTTACTTGCCATCGTAAAGAGTTTATCCATAATACGTTTCGAGCTGACGAAGAAATAACGCTGAAAGGCCAACTTAAAAAACTCTTCATCGGGGCTAATTTACATTATTGATATAAAAAAATACTTTTAATCAGAACTTCTTGGCATCTCATCATTTTACGGCTGTATAAAATGATATTTCCCAAGGAAACTCACCAGGAGAGTAACAAATCCTGTCCTTTAGTGTTCTTACAATTGACAAAAGCTGTCTATACCCAACCACAAATACATGCTTGGTGTCAGTTGTAACCCGTACTAGCCTTGTCCTACTGATGCTGCCGATGCCAATGGTGAATATCTCCACACCAGCTCCCTTAAGTGTGTCGGCTGGTCTCTTCACCCTGTCAATCCACCGCCCCGCGGTAAGAACAATAAGAACTCTTCGTTTTCCACAACGAGGTTTTCCTCTGAAAAGATTAAATCTGGTATAGGTCAACGCTCGTCCAAGTCTCCCTCCGCCTCTAAGAACCCGAATTCCAGCGACGGCTTTGTAAATTCGTTGCCGATTGTATGCTGCAGAAAATCCGATGATTCTTTTAGGACGAGATGCGTACGCTGCTACTCCAATACGCGCGGCTCTACTTGAGATGGTAAATCGACGAACAGTTTCTCGTACAAACTGAACAATTCGCTGGATGTTTCGTCCCACACGACTCGTAGCGTCGATAAGGAAACCGAGATCAACTCTGGCTGTGCAAACTGTGAAAAGAAAGTAGAATAATTTTAACAAATCAAGATCGAGGGGAGATGTCGTATTGTTTTAAAGTACGAGTTATGTCAAGAATTAAACAGCATATCGTGTGGTTAACCTTTCCCTACCAAACGAGGTTACAAGTAAGTTACGCATACCACATCTTTCCATCATTTAGCGAACAAGCGCTTTGAACATCATATATCACCAGGTAGAGAGAGTATTTTTTAAAGTAACACAGCATTTCCTCAACTTATTTACAAGGAATAAAGGCTGATAGTTTCTAAAGAAACTGTTAGGCGCTGCGTCGGTGGGGGTAACGAAATAATTTGAATATATCAGCAAAGTTGAGGATAATCAACTCAACATCGAGGACAATCGACGAAGGGCTAACGACTAAGGGCTAACGCTCGAAACGTCAGCTTTTATAACCGTAACGGTGGCCAATTCACCATTTCAACTTTGTTGATATATTCAAATTATTTATTTACAAGGAATTGTACGCTTCATGGAGAGGGGAATTGTCCATCAGTTCCATTTAAAATACTCTTGGCGTCTGAGGAAACCCCTCAATCCCGTTTCGCATAATCACTATGAAAGTATAGAGGGGGTTTCCATTAATCAAATATCAAACAACCCTTTTCATAGAACCTTGGTTCCAACGTAACATATCATTCTATCTCGAGAAAACTGTTATAAAGAAAACTTAATGATTCACAGTCTTCTTTGCATTATGTAATACTTAACATCTCACAAATAAGAAAGTAACTTACTTCTAGGAGCTGGTGTGGGAGCGGGTGTCGGAGTTGGAGTTGTACAGGGCACTAAGAAAAGAAAAACACATGCAGTGAAATAGATTACGTCTACACTCTAAGAAATCAAAGTCATTTGTAACGCATAATCGTTCAAAACAAAAAAAAGCCTGAACGAGGCCATTGGGAACTTAAAAGAGCCATATTTTAAGTTTGGCGACGGAAGTGCAGCTGCAGACAACTAAAACTGGGTTAGACCTACCTTTCTTGAAGCATCGTTTCTTAGTCTCTTC